TGAAACATGTAAACTCTTTTTGGATTTTCTTTTTCCTATTTCTTTTTGATTTTTTTTTTAAAAAATGATGGAAAAGTGCAAAATCTTTTTGGATTTTTCATCTTTTTTTTGTTGTTGTCTTTTCTTAACAAAAATGTGACAGATAACATAACTGGGCCCTACTTGCTTTATTTTCACACTTCACCATCTCTTTTTTTTCTTTTTTTTTCATTTGCCCTCAACTATTATTGGTCCGCCAAATGACCCTTTTACCCTTGAAGATTGCAACATGTAGCACATTAGGATGCATCAGAATGATCTTTTATTTTTGGGTACACCTGTCCTAGACGGACCCAACCCCTGTGTTGAGTCCCCAGTCGAATGCAAATGATGCAAATAAGCGTTCCTATTAGGGATCCGGCATGAGGCTGAGTTATTCTAGGTTTAAAACCTGGGTGTATTGTTCTAGACCTGGCTTACCCGAGCGGACAACTCGAGCCGAGGAGGGGCAGCGTACCGGAACCAAAAGATCATCCGGCTTTGTAACTTGTCTGAACCTCGTTCTAATTTGGGATATGACACTAACAGAAAGAAGTCACGCCAGCGTGCACTCCTCAGAAGAGAGAAGAGAGGGGTTTCGTAGCAGTTTATATACAGTTCAGATAATATCAAAGCGGTAAAAGCAACATTTAGCACATTAGGCCCAAACATGTAATAAAGTCAGATAATAAACAAAGCCAAATATAACAATTATTCTAAGCTCGAATTCTGAACCCTGAACCAGAAGTTCTGGGTTCTTCTCCCCAGCAGAGTCGCCAGAGCTGTCACACCTCCTTTTTCCTACCCCGGAGGGGTATAAAGGAGTTTTTTTCAATTTAAGTGACAATCGAACGGGATTATTTATTTATTGTTCAGAGTCGCCACTTGGGATAATTTATGGTGTCCCAAGTCACAGGTTCAGAATCCCTAATCGAGGAAAGATTTGACTCTGTTTATGCCTGCAAACACAGAAATTCGGGTGAGGAATTCTGTTAACCCGGGAGAAGATGTTAGGCACTCCCAAGTTCTGTGGTTTTAGCACGGTCGCTCAACTGTTATTATTGCCTATTTATCTGATTTTAAAACATTTTTTAAAACCTATGTGCATTTTTATTCCTTTTAAACCGCTTTTAATAATCCAATTATTATACAACTAATTATTGACTACACGTTTGCGAATCATGTCACGGGAACCGTACCCACGATCCACAACTTGCTTATTTTATTAGAAAGGTTAAATTGTGGCCGGGTCACATAAATGTACCCCCCGGATTTTAGAAATTAAGTGTCATAACCACGTCACGGGAACCGTACCCGTAGTCACGATAATTTATTACGTGCATAAAGCAAACTACGAGGTTCATTTATTAGTATCTAAGTAATAAATATGAGGGCCATAGATTATACGATTCAAATGTATGAATGGCACGCCTCAAAACTATTCAACTAAATGAACTATGGACATTCATATTAAAACTAATTTGAAATTAGGTGTCACAACTACGTCACGGGAACCGTACCCGCAACTGTGGTGATTCATTATTTAAGCACTTGAAAGGTTTACCTACCCAAGTGTGTGGAAAAAACAGTAAAAATCAAATAAACTAAAATAAATGAAAGAAGGTCCGTTCATGCTAACTTTATTTTGATTCTGTTTAAATCCAAATCCTACGGACTGACAAACAATTCTTTTCATTATCTTTTTCCGTTGGTGTGGGACTCAGTCGAATATCAACACATAAGAAATTCAAAGCGCGAACTGGATCTAAACAGAAATTGAAGCTAAAGTAAGAAAAAAAATTCAGATTAATTTGACTCTACTAACTGAGAAAATGTTGCACATGTACTAACATGAATAAAGGTTATTGCACTTCCTCCCATGCAAACTTTACCCAGAAGGGGGCGTATCAAACTTAAAAGCCTTTTGTATGGACAAAAGCTCATCTTTTTGACTTCTCTGTTCAGATTTTGATTGTATTGGTTTTTAGTAAAGCCAAAAGCCATACCCCCAAGCTCTTGAGTGATAAAATGACGCTACAATGGCGGTCGAGTAACAGTACAAACCAAAGCCAATTAGTTTATCTAGATGCTAAGTGCAAACAATCAACCACTAAGAAAATAGTAAATTCAATAAATCACACCTCAATTGAATACTACGACTTGTGAACATGCTGAACTTTCCTCCCAGAAATGGACAGTGAACTCAAACATGCGCAGGGAGTTCTAAACAACTGGAAGCTAAAGGGTTAATGATAAGAATTCTTAATTCAAGAAGCTAACTTAGTTCACCAAATTTCAGAACGACTGCTTAAATTCAAGTCGCTAACAGCTACTATCGACTAAAATACACTCGATGACAGTCCTGAAACTTTGATGCAAAGTAAGATCACATTCTCAAAAACCAGTCATGGTCGGATTCAGATCTCAATACGAAGATGCTACCAACTCGAATACTCGACTCAAATTCCTCAAGTAATAACACTCAATGAATTAGGACTAAAGTAGAATGAGAAGCTATTTTTCCAATTCCCAGAACTTTCAAGGATGAGCACAACTCACAACTGAACCTCAAACTTCAATTTTAAGTCCAAACAATGGCAACAAACAAACACGAACCAAGTTTTCAGCCACAATACATCAGAGAAAATCGACATAGCTCAACAGACTTTATCAAAAATCTCAGCTAGTCACAAATCAATAAGAAACTAAACTAGAACTCACTGATTCAATCCCACAAAAGCTTAAATGACAGCAACAAAGAGATGCAAACTCAGAAATTCCAGCATACTCTATTATGACTTGGGAGTGTTTTCAACTCAAAAAAATAGCATAAATGGACCTGAACCAAGGCCAAGCGAGCTTAGAACTCGACTAGAAGAAACAGACATTGAGTTTCAAGATTCAAACTAAACCACAATGGAATACGAACACACACAAACACAGAATCACGAGCAATAAAGAAGAAGATAAGAAATGAACCTGAGTTGCAAAAAAAACTTAGATTTGTTCTGCCTTGAGCCCAATACAAGTGAATTCGATAATGAAAACTCAAGAAAACAGCAGCTACAATGCGTTAGGATGCAAGAACTACAAAATCGAACTCGAACGGTCAACTCGATCTCAGCTCAATCCATCTCCATTTTTGAAGGAAATCAAAGAAAGATGATGAAAACTTTTTTTTTCGATTTTCCATACTTTTGACACAAAACTAAGAATCAAAGCAAAAGAAACTGAAATTTTCTAAACCTTCTTCTCCGGAATCGAAATTGAAAATGCAAAAAACCAGAAAGAAAACTAAATGATTTTTTCAAACTTTTTTCTCCAAATCTCAGACTTCGAAAAATTTTCTGAAAAAAAAAAACCCTCAAATAAATCCCCCCCCCCCAACAAAGAAACTTACCTTATATATATACCTCCCCAAAAATCTCGAACCTGCTATTCCTTTTTTCACACACACGAAACTTGAAAATCTCTTTCGGAACCAATTCTGATAGATGGAAGGAGGGGATTGATCCTCAAATCAATCCACGGCTCCCATTTTTCGAATTTATTCCTCAGAGATTTCAACAATTCAGCACATGGGGTGGAAAAAATGTCAGAAGCCGTCAGAATATTCGGTGACGTAGTGAGATGGGGGGTGCGTGAGGTGAGTTTGAGCTCACTCGCCTAAAATTTGGTGAGTTTGGACACGGATCTAAGGTGAAGAAGAGAATGAACAGTAGGCGTCGTTTCTGAGTTTGGGAATTAGGGTTCGTTCTTAGGAAATTTTTTATAAAGGATTTAAATACTAGGAGGAAATGGGGCGGGTCGCGTTTGGGGCAGACGAGCGAGTGAGTGGGGTAATTTGGGCTGGACCTGGATGGGCAGGCGTGGGACTTGGGCTGGGAGGGGAATTGGGTTAAATCCCAGCTCCATTTGAACGAATCTCCTTCCCAAATTCATTTTCTTTTTTTCTTTTTTTTCTTTTTTTTCTTTTTCTTTAATTAATAAAATCCTAAAATTAACTCCTGAATTAATCTAAAAATTAAATTAATGGCTTAGTCACAATAATTATAAAATTACTTAGTCCTAAATCAAAAGGAAAAATCAATATACTAAAATTAAAAGGTGTAAAATGAGCTATTTTGTGATTTTCGTTTTTAATAAAATAAATAATTGCTAATTAATTCCAAAAAATGTAAAATCAAACCTAAATGTGATGCATGGTATTTTTGGCTTTTCATGATTTTTAATGGAAATTAAATATGCACAAAAATGCGATAATTCATAAAATTCTACAAAAAAATCCTATAAAATTGGAAAAGTTATTTTTCTTGTATTTTATGGAAGTAATTCCTATAGGGCAAAACTCACGTGCTCACACTATCTTTTCAATAAGTGGTTGCCATTGCACCCAAGATAACTTCTTGGTTGATAATGTAACCCCTAGATATTTAAAGGGTAGTTCACCTTCAATCAATCCCAATTCATGCACAATTCTATCTCTATCCCTTCTGTTCACACCTCCAAATAAATTGAACTCTTACCCAGGTTTGCTTTGAGGCTTGAAGCTGCTGAGAACTGATTGAAACATAAATGTGTGATTGCTAGCTTTGAACATCTGGGATGGTAATGAAATTCTGCCTTCTTTGGTAATCCCTTTAGACTCCTACTCAAGTTCTCCATTGCTATAGCAAATAGAAATGGAGACATAGGATTCCTTTTCTAAGACCTTTAGCAGCATTGAAAGGTATTGAAGACTCCCCATTAACCAGAATAGTATAACTGACTGTTTTCATGCATTCTAGGATCCAACTGATGAACTGATTAGGAAATCCCAACTCCACCAAGACTTGTTCAAGATATATCCATTCCACTGAATCATAAGCTTTTTGTAGGTCTATCTTGATCATGCATCTTGGTGACACATGTTTTCTTGTATAAGTTTTCACTAGTTCATGTGCTAGAATGATGTTGTCTCCAATCTTCCTCCCTGGTATGAATCATGCTTGTGACTCACTAATTATAGAGGCAATGACTATTTGAATCCTTGCTGCTATAACTTTTGAGATCAGTTTATACATAACAGTGCAACAAGCTATTGGTCTATACTTCATCAGTGTTCTGGGCTTGTCATTTTTTGGTAGCAATATGATAGTTGTACAGTTGATGGCATTGTACAACTTCCCAGTGGTGAAAAACTCTTTTACTGCTTCACGCACCTCTTCTTTAATGGTACCCCATGCTTTTCTGAAGAAATTAGCATTATACCTATCTATCCCAGGAGCTTTGTCTTCACCTATGGAATCAAGGCCTTGTTGGATTTCCTCTTCAGAAACTGGAGCTATTAGGGCTAGTTTGTGATGATGAGTCAGTGTTGGTCCTCCCTTCATATTCATCTTGTTAGTGGCCGGTAGTTCTTTTGCAGAAGATCCCATCAAGGATTTATAGAATTTCACAATCTCCTCTTGTATTTCTTTTGGCTCTGTAAGATTCCTTCCTTCTAGTGATGTGATCTCCTTAATGGCTTTTCTCTGACTTCTCTACTTAACCACAGCTGAGAAATATTTTGTATTTGAATCCCCTAATTAATCCATTTAGCTCTTGACTTCTGTTTCATGATGTTCTCCTCTATCATGGACCACTTTTCCAGATTCTGCATTGTAGTCCTTTCCTGTTCCATTAAATCATCTGACCATTTTGAAGTCAGTTGTTTCTGGATCATCACTAATTCATTTCTTTCTTTGTCTATTCTCTGTGTAATGTTTCTAAACTCCTCATTATTCAGTTGCTTGAATAATGGTTTTAGTGCCTTCGGTTTCATCCATATATCTTTCATCTTCCATTTTGAAAACTTTTGTTTCCATACTTTCTTCACTACAGCCTGAAACTTTTCATGATCAGCCCAAGTGTTGAAGAACCTGAATGGAACTTTGATATCACTCTGATTTGTCTGTAAAGCAAGCACCATTGGATTATGATCTGAGATTAGTGGCACATCATATTCCATCACAATATGACCCCATTCCATCATCCATTCATGGTTACCAAAAGCCCTATCTAGTCTGCTACAAATTCTCTCATTACTTTGCTGTTTATTACTCTGGGTGTAGTAATCACCAGTCCATCTTACTTCATTGAGTATTAACTCATGGATACAGTCATTGAAATCCTTGATCTCCCCATATTGTACTGGATTCCCATATAATTTATCTTGTGGATATAACATTGCATTAAAATTTCCAACAATTAACCATGGCATATTCATTCCTTGAGCTAGTACTTTAAGTGTATCCCACATACTTTTCCTTTTCTCACATGTGTTATACCCATAGATTACAGTTATAACATATGTCTTATTTGATGCTATTGTATTAACTTGACAATGCAGTAATTGAGCTTCTTCTTTCAGCTTAGCTACTATATATAATCTACTATCCCATGGTAGCCAAATTCTTCCATTGATTGCACTCCTGTAATTATTCAGAAACCCCCAGTTGGGAGCCACAACTGCTGCCACAGTTGTTGCTTTGTGCTCTCTGACTTTGATTTCTGTTATTCCTGCTAGGGTAATATGTTTTGTCTTTATATATTTTCTCAGTTCCTTCTTTTTATACTTTTTATTTGCACCCCTTACATTCCAAGAAAGCCAATTCATTTGTTAATAACTGGTTCCACCTCCTTTGTCAGGACGAGCTGATTTGGATCCACCATGACCTCTATTCAACACTTCAAACACATTCTTTATTGGCACTAAACATAATATTGGAAACTCTTGTAGATTGAGTTCTGGTACCCCGACTAATGCTTTTCCCTTATCAGGGGTACTGATCCCATTTTCTCCTATTTGTTGCTGATCCTGCACCAAATTAGTTGCTTGTATCTTAACAACTTGCATGTGTTTACCACCTGCTTCTATGTTTCTAGCCTTTGTTCCTTCATCCTGGTCTTCTCCTTTGTTGCTGCTATCATGCTGCTCTTTTGGTTGTTCTTTTGTCACCCATTTCTGTACTATTTTCTTGTGCCCTCCTTGTTTAGTTGGTTGTTCTTCATTCCTTCTCTGTATCTTTGGACATTCATGACCAATAACTTGACATTTCTCACAAAACATTGGTTTCTAATCATATGATACAGCCTGTTGAAACACTCTGCCACTAGGATCCTTCACTTCAACTTGGTCTGGCAATGGCTTTGTCACATTAACTTCCACAAGCATTCGAGCATATGACACACGCATTTGCTTGGCAGTGCACTCATCTGCATACATTGGTATCCCTATAGCACTTGCTATCCTACTTAGTGAATTAATCCCCAACAATTCATTGGTAATTTTGGGAGATTAATTATCACGACCCCAAACCGGGGGTGTGCAGACTCCGGAGGGGCTCCTACAGCCCAAGCGTTATATCGTTGCGGCGTGCAACCCGATTATATATATANTACATAAAGGTTATTTAAGGACAAGGTCTCTGAAATACACGGTTGTACAATTTAAGGAAAGAAAATCAATTAACAGCCAAGAAATCACAAGGTCTGAGATTTGGTATGAATGAACCAAGTCAGAAAGATGGAAAAGGTTTTCACTTAAGGAAAATCAGTAAACAATCAATTAGACCTATTAAAAAGGAATTCTGAGTCAATCACTAGTTTGAAAACCTCTTTGAAGAAAGATTTATCACACATATAAAGCATACAGACACGTTTAAACATGAAAGAACTGTCATGCCAATCAGTAGAAGAGTCTAGTGCAGAAGAAATTTAAAAGTTCAGAGTTGTATGTAGGCAAAGAAGTTCAGACTTAGTTCAAAAACTCAAAAGTTAGTCTGAGAGAGTCAAGGGTTCTAAAATAGAACCCTAGTTCAATCACATGACCAAACCTCGACAGAACCCCCAAATTCTAGGGTTTCCACCTTGAATCAAATACAGAGATGAGGAAGCAAGTAGTCGAAACATGCTCAGGGGTTTCTTTCAGAAACCCATAAGAACACATGCAAACACAGTAGAAAGAGTAGAAGAAACATGCTTAAGAAAACAAGGAGCTCAGTAGAAGGAAAATATTAAAGAACACAGTAGAAAGGTATAGTATAGCAGGACATAGTAGAAGAAATACCAGAACATAGTAGAAAGCCCATGAGAACATAATATGGAAAACATGGTAGAAGAAACACAAGCGTGGAGCATATAGAACACAGTAAAGAACATTCAAGAACGGAGTATAAAACTCAGTAAAAGACCATACAAGAACATGGTAAAAGAAGAAGCACAAAAACACAGTAGAAAGCATGCGAGAACATGATATAGGAAACACAGTGAGATAAACATGTGAGAGCAGGGTATAGAGACACAGTAAGAAAACGAAATATTAAAAAGCACAGAAGAACATGTATGGTAGAAAGGAAACATGTGAGCACAGTAGAGATAAATACACACAAAGAAAGGGAAAAGAAAAGTCGGAGAAACATTTTAAGCATTTCAGAAAATCCTAAATCGAAAAAGAATTGATTTTGAAAGTAATTTTTGAAAGAAAGTTGGGGAAACTGTTTGAAAACTCAAATAGAGCATGGATACACAACAGATCTAAGAAAAATCAGAGAAAACCTCGAAGGGTTAGGGTTTCAGAAGAACCCTAAAATGAGAAAGGCTTTGAAAAGGGTCCGATCTGAGTCGGAGAAGATCAGAATCAGGCTCAGAAGACCAGGATACGCCCGAAGCAAAGCCGGAGATGGCCGTAGAACCTTGGATCGGTGGAGATCTGAACAAACACATTCGAGGTCAGACTTCGAACCTTCGAGTACCAAGCGTTGAGCAAAGGGAGGTGAGTTTAAGCCTCTCATGGCCTGAGAAGCCATGGATTCCGGTGGTTTCGAGGTTGGAGACGATAGGAGACGATTAGGGTTTTGAGAACATTCGAGAGAGTTTGAGAGAGTGGGGTGTTTAGAGGCGGCTGATAGATGAGGAATGAGGGTAGTCGTTTGGATTAAAAAAGGCAAGAATGAATAGGGGTCGTTGATCTCAGAGATCAACGGCCAGGATAAAAGGGGATCTGGGTCGGGTAGGTTTTAGTTGGGTCAGGGGCGGGTTAAATCGAAATAGGGTTAGCCCATTTAAGATTGAAATTGGTTTTTAATTGGGGGTTGATTTGGGCTATAATTGAAATGAAATAGGGCTAGTAGTTCAATAGCCAGTTTTTCCCTTTTTATTTTATAAAAAATAACAAGATAATTTCTGGAAACAAACTAAAGGTACTAAATTAATTAATAATATATACATATTAAAATAAAAATACTGGAATCAATTTCATAATTATAAAATGCTATTAAATCTCAAAATAGGCTAAAATTGCAATTGTATGCAATTTAGCTTTAAAATTACTAAATAAATTTGTAAAAATGCGCAAAAATTACCTTAGCTATATTTTGGTATAAATGTGAGAATAAAATAAGTTATTCACCAAAATAATAATTTGAGAAACAATTATTGGTTTTTGTACTGTCAAAATAGGACAATAAATTGATTAAAAAAATCCTTTAAAAATTAGGAAAAATACATAAAATATTTGGGCATACTTATATATGCATATGTATGCTATTTTGAAATAGGGGTGGGCATCGGTCGGTTCGGTTCGGTTCGGTTATGAATATTATCGGTTTAGCATATCGGTTACCGGTTTACAAATTTGATAAACCGATAACCGAACCGATAAGATATCGGTTATCGAGTATCGGTTAATCGATTATCGATCATTATCGGTTCGGTTATCGGTTTACCCGATAAGATAACTCGATTTATAGTTAAGCAAAAAAGAGAAGACAATTCACTTGAGTTAAGCAAAAAAGAGAAGAATTCACATATAGTATACTAAAGACTTACGCTAGGAGTAACTAGTAAGGTCTATGAAGAATGAAGATGAAGCAACTGAAGAGTGCGGTTGAGAAAGAGTAGGAGAGAATGAACAAAAGTCCTAGCATTTGTACATACTTAAGGGTAAAGTCATAATTTTATTAATTCTTATTGGGTTATCGGTTAACCCATTAACAAAATTGGCAAACCGAGGCCCGAACCGATAACCCAATAGGAAAAAAAATTCTAAACCGTTATTGAACCGTTTACCCAATAACCCGATACTGATAACGCAATAAACAATTAACGGTTCGGGTTATCGGTTTTACCCGATATATGCCCAGCCCTATTTTGAAAGTATTTTGCATATATAGAATATACAGGGAAAAATTGGGTATCAACAGTAAGCCATAACCGTTTTCTCAGATCAACCATTCATGAAGCCACTTCTCCTTTGGCGAAGACCATAGCAAATTTCTGCACCAAACCTCGATGTTATCCTTCCAACATGCTGAAATCAAGTCCGTTTGCAGTCACTAGAGATCCCGACGATCTCATCCAATCCAACACAACCATTCTGGTGACATTGACACATCAA